CGATAAGGGTTTATTCATATTGAATTTAGTTTGTCGTGATGAAGCGTTGCGAGACGAAGCCTTACTACAACTACGCAATGCTTTCAAAGCGGTTTGTTGTTATAAGCTGGAGGAGGATATAAATGAGATTATTTATTGTTCAAATAGTGAAAAGTACAAAAGTATAGTAGAATGGAAGAAAGATTTGGGCGCGGCAGCTCGACGCTTAAATAATGCGGCAAAAGCGCAAAAATTGCATAACGACGATATGTTAGAGATTACGGAGTTTTTAAAGGAATTAAAGATTTAAATGAAATTTATAAAAACAAAATTGCTTAATAATTAAGGCTTTACATTTTGATGAAGCATGTTATAAATTAAAAAAGAAACAATAAAACTCGACTTGCTATTTTGAATTAAATTTTGTTTCTTTTTACAACCGCCCCGGGTTCATACCCATATGATTCGTTAAAACTTTTGTGAAACACTTCTTATCGATTTTTCGATATTGACACAGTTTATAGTTGTTGAACTAATCTAATTTCTTTGCTCATTATTTTGGCTATTAAAACAAGAAACCCCGTTTTCTTCTCCTGCACACGTGCATAGTTCGTCGAACAAATACAAACATGGCTAAAACGACTCAGTTCGTCACGCTGATCATATATAATATGTATAAACCTTATAAGGTTTCCGATGTTTCCTTGTGGGTGTTATAAACTTCGTGGCAAACATAATATATCCTCAGGGGTCAGGGTATAATAACAACGATGCGTTTAATATTAGCTACGAGATGTAAATTGTTGTTTATTTTATGCTTTATGCGCCAAATACAAATGCCATCGAACACAATGCTCATATTACTTGGCTTATACAAATAATTGCTGGGAAATATTCAAAATTTAAACTCTTTATATTTCTTGGTTGTTTTGCTAGTGGTGTCGGCTTGTTGCCGTTTACGCTTCGATTTTTGACGTGCCACATGCTCAGCCAACATATCGGAGAGATCCTCCTTCTGTAGATGACTTTGTTGTTCGCGCATCTGTTGCTCATAACGTTGTGCCATTGCCTCATTGTCCAAATCCAATTCGGAGGGATCCAAAGCCAATTCGACGGTACCCTCACGATCGACCGTGACAGCGGCACGTGCAGCCGGTTTGTTAACACCACTTATATCGTAGACGTGGGTAGAGCCCATCATGGAAGCACCAACACGATCGGTACGCTTTTCGGGCAGTACTTGATAGAGCACTGGAGTGTCATTGCTGCCAGAAAAAAAAATTATTGAATAGTTTTAAGCAAAAAACTATAGTACTTACTCTTCTATTTCGGCTTCGATTTTCTTCTTACGCAATTCAATCGTTTCTGGCGTCTCCATGCCGGCTGGTACGCTAGTTAGACCCGACGGTGTTACCAAACCTTCAGCTGGTGTTACGAGACCGCTATCGTCTGGCTGATTACCCAGATCTTCACCATCCTCCTCCTCTTCTTCAGATGACTCCTCAGACTCGGACTCAAGTTCACCCCATTGATTACGCTCAATATCGCCCTCGTCAATGCCACTCTGAAATGAAAGAAAATAAAGAGAATTACAAACGAAAAGATTTATATACGTTTTCTTAAGGCTTACATCCAAGTCCATTATATTTGTGCCGAATACATCACCGTACAATGGTTTGCCATTTTCATCTACAGGCGGTTTACCCCAACCACCTGCATGGTAGCCAAATGAGGTGCCTTCGGGTATGGGTGCATTCAAGCCGGGTATTTTCAAACTAGGATATGATGGTGGCGGTCCGTAACGTTGTTGGGCAATAAGCCATGGTGGTGGAATTTTATGTGAATTGGGGCCCACCGGCATACCGAGTGCTATGCGCAACTCTTCGGACAAATCGCCTGGTTTCTTCTCTTTCAAACGCGTCTCATACTCTTTGCCCTCATAGTATAGATCACCATGTATGGTCATGCGCGGCTTGGTCTGCCACTTGAAGAAGGCATCGTGCAATTTCTGATAGTCTATATCGATTTTGCCCATTTTAGGGCGTACACGTTCGCGCATTTTCGATTTCAATGACTTGGCATCGTCCTTCTCCTGAAGCGATTCACGCATTTCCATAATGCCAGTCTTCTTGATGAAGGCTGGCAAATCGAACGGTGGCTTCTCTATGCCACGCTTACCTTGCAAATATTTTCGCTTGAAACACCAGTGACGTGGCACTTGCACAGTGTTGCGATAAGCTTTTAGTTGTACAAGTAATTTGGGATCACGCGCAGTGACGTCGTGCATTTCCACAACGTCGGGGCGTGAGACCAATTGTTTTAGCTCAGCAACGCTCAAGCGTGTGAGTTTCTTCAGTTTGCGTTTAGATAGTTTCTCCTTGTCCTCTTTGGTGTCCTGTGAATTGTCAAAAAATATATATATTATAAATAATAAAAATATATAAATAATAAAAATATATAAATAATAAAAATATTTAAATAATAAAAATATATAAATAATAAAAATATATAAAAATGATTGGTTTTACACAAATATGAAGAAAATACCTCATTATCTTCGTCGTCATCATCATCTTGCATCTTGTCTATTGGCTTTTTGGGCACAGCTGCACCTTCATTCTCCGTAGTTGTTTTGTCCTTCTCTGGAACCTTGGGTTTATTCTCTAATTTAAATATTTCGAAAACGCGATAAAATTGCCTATACATTGGCGCTAAATCGGCGATTGTTATGCGTTCCGGCACATATTCTATAGTCACATCATCCTCACCGACACCCTCCGATTTATCTTTCCTGTCAACAGCGCTTTCTTTTCGTTTGTGTTTCTCTTTATCCTTATCCCTATCCTTACCCTTTCTGTCCTTCTTATTCCTGCTCGATCTATTTTTTTCTTTTTCCTCAATTTCTTCATCCGAGTTCCTTTCATTTGGTGCCGTCTTTGCGTCGTAATCAGCTTCTGCATCATCGGTTTTATTTTCAACTTCGACAGATTGGTCATTGTCAGCGTCATTTGTGCGCTCGTGGTCACGTTGCTGCCTAAGTTTGCGATTTTGCTTCTTTCTACGTTTTTTCTTTTTATTTTTTTCGGCACGGCTTTGTTTACCGCCCTTCCCGGTTATGCCACCATTCATTTGATTCTCACCTTCATCATCTGAGTCATCACCTGCATCACCATAGTCATTACCTATAACGCCAGCATTTCCCACGCCACCACTGTTCCCTTCATTCGAAGTAAAATCTTCCGCATTCACATGGAATTCAGCCGCGCGCTGATCTTTTAATGCTAAAACATCTTCCAGCGCTTTCGGGAGGACCACTTCGGTAGGCTTTTTATTTTTGTCGTCATCATCGACATTATCAGTGCTTTCACCAACTTCACTTACATTATCCGATGCTGTTGTATTATTGCCGTTACCACTCATAGGTTTCTCAACCTGCATAGACATGAGTGGCATGGGTCGACCGACTGTCTCATTTTTAGCTACCTCCATACGTGATGGTGGCGGCCCCTGATTCCATGGTTGTGGTGGCGCTATTTGTTGATGCGGTGGTGGTGGCATCTGTTGAGGGTTCATTTGTTGTATGGGTATTTGCTGAGGATTTATTTGTAATGGCGATTGTAGAGAATGCTGCGGCGGCGGTGGCAACTGCTGTGGTGGCGGCTGCAATTGTTGTTGAGTTGGTGGCGGTATTTGTTGTGATGGTGGGGGCATTTGTTGTGGGGGCGGCAGTTGTTGATGCGGCATATTAAGTCCGGGTGGAAATATTGGCGGTGCCGGTGGTCCAGGTAACAAACCTGGTGGTGGCCGCATGCCAAGCAATGGTGGTGGGCCGCCTTGCATAGGTCCGGCACCGGGCGGCATAGACATTTGTGGAGGCTATGAATTTTTGTAATTATAATAGTTTCCTATTTAACAAAATCAAATAGAAATACCTGATCACCCATCTGTTTATTAATTAACAACTTTTAATACTTTTACAAACACAGCAAATAATTTTTGCACAGCAGCTAAAAATCTTTTAGAAACAGTGATGGGAAAGTCGGGTGTTGAGCATTTACTATGCTCATGTTTGTTATCGACTACCGGAATAATCGATAGCCAATGTAATTTTTACGGTGGGCTAATAGTAAATCCTATGAAGCAATCTTCACCATATATACTTTATATGTGTATAAAAGATTAAGTGGTATGTGTAGAAAAAATATTATAGGTCGAATAATTATAAATAATATATAGAGAGAATTGTTACCTAAATAATTTTTAAGCATACTTACCCGAACTAGTCGCAGAAATCGAACGACTATAGCATATAGTTCATTAGAAAAGATGTCTTTACGAAATCTGGCATATATTATTGTCCAAGGTAACGCTACAATCTCCAACAAAATTGTTTAAATCGGAACATTATAGCATATAGCTGTCATACAAACTGATCGATCAGAATCAAGGCCTTATATGGACAAATTTTCTTTTTGACAAGTTATCTTTACGAAATGTTGCATAGATTACTGGCCAAGGCAACGTTACAATCTCCGACACAATTGTTCAGATCGGATCACTATAACATATAGCTATAATACAAATAAACGGTCAGCAAAATCAAGATAAAGATAGGTCTTATCACAGAACTATGTGTCAATGATCGGGTTTTGTTGTTGTTGTTGTTGTAACGATTATCTAATCCCCGTTTAGGTGATAAATTCTAGATTCGTTGTCGTCGAGGTCATCTAACGGAAGGCCCAGGAAACGAGCTGTTTCGACGGGGTCGGACCATAGGGAGAGGGGTGTTAGATGAGTGGGGGTTTTAGATCGGGTTTTATTTTATAACGGTGACATGCTCCAATTAACTTTAAAAGCAGCAATTTTCCGCCTGATGGATGTAGAATAAGAGAATGTTAATGAATTGATAACATTGTTAACAGCACTCTCCGTTCAAGCTAAGTTTTTTATTGCCTGCATATTGCGCCAGAAGCAAACTTCCCATTAGTCGCTATATGGATTAATAAAAAATACATTTTTATAATTTATTTGTATTTATTCTTATATGAATGTGGCAATTTCGTAAAGTCCAATGTATATTTATTTTACCTAAAATACTACTACATCCTTTTTTATTAAATACATAACGCCTATAGACAGACAAAACAGCTTTATGGCGTTGCATTATTTTATGCTATAAACGCAATATCTCTTACAAATACATAAATGTACGCGCTCTTACATAAATGTACAACTACAAGTTAGAAATATACACATGAAAGAATATTTAAGAGCTTACAATCAATAGCAATTTTAAATAAATTAGCCATTGAATTTACAAATTAATCAAAAATAATATTTGAACAAATAAACTTATACCTATGTACTTACATATGTATAACAATTGCTTTAAAATACATTTCATATGAATAAAATTAGAATTTAATTTACAAACTAATGAATGCATGAAATATTTACGTTATAATGAAATGATATAACAATATTTTATGATTGTATGAAATAATGCAATAAAGGAACTTAGAAATAGTATGAAAATAAATCTCACAATGAGAAAAATGCGAAACTGAATTTAAACAAGCTACCAAATTGGCAATTGCGAATGAATAACAAGTACAATTAAGGCTTATTCCAAATATTTGTATTTATATGCACTTGTGTGTGTATGCCTGGAAAGAAAACATGGTACTGTAAAAAATTTAAAATACAAATATTAATGAAAAAAATCTACGTGTATTATTATTGTCAACACAATTCTTTAATGAAAATATGTGTTGATTTATCGTTGTGTTTTCTTCATCTAAATACAAAATAATTCAATATTCTATGTGTAACTACTTACATTGAAAATTTATTTTGCAATAATATTCAATTTTTAAGTAACTAGGTGACTCCATTTAGGTGTACATATGTAAGTCTTGCCGAAACGGATACTTTCGATTTTTTTTTACTAAACAGCCTACAAATATGTTTGAGTACATATATGCACTGCACATTTTAACCACTATATACACACAGGTACATATTGGTATGTACATACATTTGCTTATATATAACAATAATCAGGCGATTTAAACTTTTTGTTAAATAATTTTCAAAAATGTACTATCTTTTTGCAATAATAACAATTTTTCGCCTCGTACAATGGCTACTTACAACAGTTCATATAAATAGAATATTTCCTTCATATACATGCTTATAATATTATATATACAAAACTAAAGTATTCATGACATATATTAAAAATACGACAGAAATAGGATTTGGAAAACTTTAGAAAAATATTTAAATCACAAAATTACAATAGTTTTTTGTTTAAAATTTCAAATGAATAAATTTTACATGTTGTCGGGTTTAATAACGAGCAGTTGTAAAATAAGAAAATCGTAAATTTATGCAGCACAGCTTTGAAGCTACATTCCCTTCTCTCTCTCTCTTCCCATCATTTCCATCAAATAGTTGACTTAGTTATATTTTCTCTTTTTTATTGCAATCCATCGAATTGTCAAAATTGTTGATCGTAGCCATATAATTCTTATGAACTCTCTTAACCAAAAACTAAATTAAAAACAAAATTATTTTGTATAAAAATATTGTTGCAACAACAAATAATATTTTTAAAGAAATAAATTTATTACAAGAACATCGGCAGGCAAGCACAAAATGGCGTATATTAAGTGTTTGGTAATTGAACATGCTTGAACTGAAGAAAATGTGCGTATAAAGCAATGCAGACAGGTCAAAATATGTAGAATTCTTTAATTAAATTTGTAAAATACATGACAAATTTTAAATTATGCAAAAGATTGTGTTGAAATAATAATGTAAGGATGTTTAATTTCCCTTTGAAAAAAGTAATAGATTTTGAGATAAATTCTAAACTAAAAAAAGTTGCAAAAGAACGCTCTAACATGCTGAATGTTTTGTTTTTTGAAAACTACAAACTGAACTCTCTAAAATTAGCAGCAATTTTGTAATTGGACCACCCTATTATAACTTCGTACGCAACTACACGAATATGCACGAAGTGATCGTTATTTCATATTTGTAAATTTGTGTACAATTTCAGACTTTCGGCTTTGCGTTTTATGTAGAAATTATTGTAAGAAATATAGATTTTAGTGGGGTCACTGATTTTAACAGTATTATGCAATATCATGCGACTGAACTCAGACTATAACTACTTTGCGAGTCTACCATAGATAATTATCTGATATCCCTTGGCGCTCTATTCGTAAGCACTTGTGTCGGAAATCATTGCTTAAATGCACTCCAAAAGGCGCTTGAATTTCAAAACTTTAACTACTTCTAACGGTTTCTCTCTCGTTCTCTTAAGCGCACTGCTTTTAGTCAAACACTTTATATTAATTAAGAAAATAATAACTACGCAATTACTAAAACCTCAAAATGGTCTAAAATACTTTGCGAAATATTTTGTTGAAGCTGCGATTTTTCTTTTTCGTTGATGTAGAGGATGTGGAGCTGCGATTACTATTGCTAGCGATGCTACTGCCATTACTGTGTGTATTACCATTACCGTTATCTGTGGCACTTGTGCCAGTTGTTGCTACACTGCTCGCGGCTATGCTCTCGCCCGATGAAAGTATGGCCTCTTCGAGTATGCGAAATGAATTCTCTGTACGACTGTTCGGTAGTAAAATTTCCGAGAGTGATGATGAGTCCAAACTAACGGTTGGTGATGCGCGCATAAAACCACCACTTGCCGACACCGAACCACTTAACGGCTTCGGCTCAGCATTTTTCGAGCGATACCATTCCCAGGAGGTGGATTCATGCGGATGCTTTGTCGATTTACTGTTACGTAGTTTGTTGCGGCTCTTGCCAAATGGTGATTTAAAGAAACCCGGCGCTGTTAGACGACTTAGCTTTTTGCCCGATTTCTTGCTATCTGCGTTGACGCCGTCTACAGTCTCCACACCATCGTCCACTTGATAGCCAGACGGACCTTCAGGCATAAATTCGTTGTACGCTAGGTCAGATGTGGGTATGAAATTGTCAAGGTCATCCTCTTCGAGACGTAGACTTTCATCGTATTCAGCTGCACTGTCTATATCCAGGGATGCAGTATTATTTAAATGCGCGCTGCCCATAAAATCATGCGATACGGAGGCTTGTCGGCGCGGCAGTTGCGTTTTTCGTCTCGATTTATTGCCAGTGGTCTTATTGTGGTATTCACCACCCGACGTAAGTGGCGGTGCACGCGATGGTCGTCCATTAACTTTGTCCAAATTTTCCATGAGCTCTGCAGCAGTAACGTTTGTCGCATTTAGCTGGGCGAGATGACGTCGTGCCTGCTGTTGCGCATGTTCGGTATTTGGCCAGGAATGTTTTTCGCCTTTGCGTCGCTGCCTGATATTTTGAGCACTCGACTCGCCTTCCGTACGCGCGCTAGTGGCATCATGCGAGAGATTCGTTCCGCCCATATTGTTGCTGTAACAAATGGACATTTTCCGTTCACGCTGTGTTATATTTTTCGCGGTATCGCCAACAGCTTCGACAGCTTTACCATCACTGCTTTCCTTCAGTATCATAAGCGCCTCCTCACTGGGTCGTCGCATTTTCTCCCCGCTCTGCTGATGATCAGAGAAATCTTCAAATGACTTACGTCGATTGAGTTTTTTCTGCATTGCAGCCACCGCACTAGCTGTCTTCTTTCGATTCGCGCTGGTGTAGAGTGCTAGCACTTCCTTAGTTTCACGACGCATTGAACGATAGAAGAGTATACTAACCAGAAGTACGAGAAAGACAAAGGCGCCCACAAAGATTATGACTACGATGCATGCGTGCACCTGTAGCGACAGGTCGTCCAGTTCCTCCTTCAGTTGGGCATTGCGTTGCGCGAGCAATTGTTGTAGCTCGCTTTGGCGGCGATTCTGTTCCTCCAGCGTGCGTACTGTTTGCACCGTTTGCGTGAGTGTGAGTTGTAGCTCTTCAACTTGTTTTTTATAGCGTCGTGATAGTTCTTCCAGGTATTGACCCGACAGGGACATATTCCGTTCAAGCGCCTGCAGAATAAAATAGTGACTATTAAAATTAATTAAATACGTGTTGGAAATAAATTTATGTATGTAGTATAAATATAGTTAAATATAGTGCAAAGGCACCTGAAGTCGAATAGCAACTGAAAACGCAAGGATAGAATTAGTCAAGTTAGAGTGTGTTTTCATCGAAAGGCAAGTTTGAACTCACAAGTAACGAAATAACAGTGTAGCAAATTGTTAAAGACAAAATGTATTCTTAACATAAATATTTTCTTAATGTGACTGGTGCGTGACTTCGATGAAAAATTACGCCTAATTGTAGGCAACACTTTATTTTTAAAGATTTATTGTGGGATTTTAGGGTATTGATCAAAACAAGGGTTGCTCGGATAGACTTCCCAATAATATAAGCAAAAGTTACTGTCTGTACTCTACTCCACTTTTCAGAAAGCTCAAGCGTAAATTATATATATTATTTTAAGATCTTGTTGTTGTTGTAATGACAAAAGTTTCCTGTTTCTATTTGAGGAATTATATCCAAAAGACATTCTTTGAGTGGCGATAAACTCGGATCGGTTACTCTTTCTGTACAAGTGTACAAAAGAATAGTACTTTCTTAAAGCTTAATATGATTTAAAGTGTTTTTACTGATTATTTTATATACTCGTATACCCGTAAAGCACATACCAAGCAATTAGCGGAAGGGTTCGGTCAGCATTTTTTATTTTTATGCTAAGTTTAAGAATATTTGCTAACTTGGCGAGGAAAACGATTATATACACTTGACTCCACTGTTCTCTACCACCGATTAATTTCTAGACCTGCGTAATACTAAGAAAATAAAAATACACCTACGAGTACAACAACCAATCAAACAAAAAAAAAAAGGATTACATGAAGAAATCAAAGAACCTTGCGTTAGTTAAGCTAACGGAGCAACAACATCGAACACGCAAATTCGCCATTATTAATGCCCACCCACTGAAGCCACATCCAAGATATGGCATTAGATGGACGAAAAGCTTGCTGCTGCACCTTGTACATATGTATATGAATTGCAGCGCTTACTAGTTTAAATAGACGTATGCCTCTGTACTTCAGTTTGTCGATCAGCTGACATGACTACAACAATAATAAACTTTGAAGGATACTATAGTTAAAAGTAGGAGTCAATCAGTTGGGTTAATAAGTAGCATACATATATATTTTATGTGCAGTTTGCATATGAAAATAATTCTGATATAAACCCAACCCTTTAAAAGAGAGAATATTAAGTAATATATGTTTGACAGGATAACAACGTAGTGTACACAAGCTTTCCATACAATTGTAAAAGCCTTTATCTTCGGCTGCAAAGGGCATTTCTTATAGCATAAATCGGTGTTAATTTGATCGGTCAGCTTGTATGGCCGCTATATGCTATAGTGGTCCGATCTAAACAATATGTTCAGATGTTGTAACTTTGACTTGGACAAATTTTCTGAATATATCTTGTCAAATAAAAAAGTTTTACAAGACAAAAATTTGATTTTGATCGGTCAGTTTATACTAGGATAATCTCGAAAGTTTCCGAAAAGAACTTTCGTAACTTGTATCAGAAACCCTCGCAAATGTATTTGAAAAACGGATAAGCAACCTACTTTATAAGCAAGACAGTCGCGGCAGTTAATATGCCAAATAGCGATAATATATTGGTAATTTTAGGTGAAGCTTTGAGCCGCTTAATTTGCGAAATCCAATGAGTAAAAATAGAGAGTTTTTAGACTGAGGCTAACAGTCAGTCCAGTCGGTTTGGACGGTTGAAATGCAGCGAAAATTTTTAATTATAACAGAATTTATATTAAAATATAACATTATAACCTTAATAAATATTTAACAAAAAATATACCCCGAAACATACCTTAATACGATTGGACAGGCGTATGAAGACGCTCTCCGATTGTGGACCACTGGGTATTTTCTGCTGTAGGTTCACGCCAGGCTGATTGCCATGCGCGCTCGCCTCGCCGCCACTCGGCGCTGCTGTCGTAGAAGTAATCAAATTATCGATGTTCTCCCAAGAGGCGGCATCCTCTTCACTGCGTGTGCCCACTGAGGGGTTGACTGTAGTTGTTGGCGTTGGTTGAAGCGTCGGTGGCGCGTTATCGCTGCTCGAGCTGTCGGCAAGCACTTTGAGAGTGTCGCCGTTTACAGGCGGTATCGAAGTCGTTGTGCTGCTTGGAGCGCTGCTGTCATCACTTGAGTCACCGCTGCTCTGCTGCTCCTCTGTGTGGCTGCCAATGCTTGGTTCGCTGGGTTGCGATGGTTTTTGCAGTTCTTGTTGTTCTTTATGTGCAGGTACATTGAATATATTTACATCGGGTGTTGGTTCCTTGCTATCGCTCGTATGTGGCGCATGTGTAGTTGTCGTTGCGTCGTCTATGTTCGCTTGTGGTGGACGTGCAATTTGCTCTGCTTCCGCTGTCCCACTTTCCGTTGTGCCTGTTGTTGTTGTTGGCGGTGGTGCACCATCACCGCTAGATGTTGCTTCAGCGCTTTCAGTTGCAATATCGTCACCGAGATTTGTGGTTTCGGTTGTAACTAGCTTCTTTTGCGTGCCGTCGATGATTCGGAAATCGTCTTTTTTCAATTTCTTGTCGATAGTAAGATTTAAAGGCGGTTCCGTAACCACATTTTCGTCTTGCGTGTCGTCTGCTGCAGCTGTTGTTGTTGATTTCGCTTTTGCTTGTGTCGCTAACATTTGGCACAGTGCACCTACATATTCTCTTGGCAGTAAATTCAGGTAATAACTGTTTTTTACGTCCATTTGTTTGCGCGTACCCAGCTCGCCGATAGATTTCGCTTTCAGTTCAATGCCATAATCCTTGGCACAAATGCGCGTGCGCAGTAGATCTTTCAGCAGCCATGGCACTCTAAGCAACGCTTGCAGAGATTGATACTCACAGGAGAGTGCATTGTTGATGCGCGCTACTAACGATTGGCTACAGTCGACGCAGTTATAAGGTCCCGTTGCGGGTGTACGGCACTGCGTTGTATGTGTTTGCGTGCGTGTGTGTGTCGTATTCTGTTGGTTTGCGGGTTTGACAAGCACTTCGGCCGCTTTTTTGACGATCGAGAGTACAGCGTCCGAAGCGGACTTAAAGAGATTCGTATCAGCACTCTTCGCATGCACTTGTTCTTGCCCGAAATCATCATCGAAATCATCCAAATCGGTGTGAGGTGTATCCTCTGTTTCGAAAGCTTCGAACTCTGATGTGCCGAAAACGCGAAAAAGTGACACGGGACAGAAATGCTCTTTGGAGTAGTGTGAGTGTATGTCAACGCGTACGAATTTGCCAAACAAATGTGGATGCAAGTCAAAACTTTGCACATTCCGCTTATCTTCCGCTATGAATCGACCCACATTCGACCAATCACGTGTGGGAAAACGATTTGAGACAGCAACAGTGAAATTTTTCGGCGACGAAGAGAACAACTCAAAATTGGCTAATTCGACTTTTTGAGCTTGTATCGCCTCGCAGAGTTCGACGACAAACCAAATGCGATTGCCACAGGGACTCAACATGTACTCGTCCTTTGAGGAGCTCAACACTGCACCCGTATTGCTCGCATCTGCATTGGAGGCGATTATTTTGGCGCCACAATCGGGCGATGCATAGTTCTTGTTGCGCATTTTAAGCGGCGCTGCACGTTTGCCATCCCCATTGGTTGATTCTTGATTCTTTTTCAGCGTGGCGGTATTAACTACCTCCTGCTCTTTTGCCTGCTGCTTCTCAGCAGCCTCCATTTGCTTTTGGGCCCATTCGGAGAATACCGGTATGGGCACCTCTTCGACAGTAAGATTTACGGTATTACCGGAATTGTTATCACCAGTCGGGGTGTCTCCTTCGGCAGGGGCGGCAGTAGCTTGGCTAGCGCTCTCATTTTGCGTTGCTGCAAGATTCTTCATCGCCGCTTTGGTGGCATTAACAATTGGAATGTTTTGTGGAATTTCGCTAGAAGTGAGCTCTGCGTCCGTCAGCGTTGGCTGCTTGTGTTCACCGCCACCAGAGTCGTCAAATTTGATGATTTCTTCGTCTGGAAAGAATTTTTAAATATTGTAATTTATTTTTATATAATTAATTATATGTGAGCTCAGAGAGAAGAACTCCGGGGTAACATTTATAGCTTTATGACCCTATGGTTCATCAAGTAATCTAACATAGGTATGTATGTGAGAGGTAAACCAAGTACCAAAATATTAAATCAGTTTTTAGACTGTAGTAGTGACAGCATGCTTGGAAAGAATTGGCAAATTTCATCTTACTTCAGCGAAATAAAAAAAGAATGAGTAAAGGGTTTAGGGTTTACAAAACCTAAGAAGGCTGTAGAACAAATAAAGTAGAAAAACATTTGATACACACCCTTTCTTATAACCTCACTGCTATTCTCCAACACATCCAATGTATGATTTTCATGCTCACGCGCAATGGTCTCTTTTGCGGCATCAATGATGAGTGCTTCGATATTGCCGCGCGTGGGCTCTAGTATTTCCAATGGCAACTCAGTCACAGTGATTGTGGGAATCTCGGTAATATCCGGCAAGCTAGAAAAACGCAAAGAGAGAAAAAATAATAATTTAGTTTGATTTTAGAATTAAAACTTAAAAAATATATATAAATATATTTTTGCTGCATAAAAATTTGTAACGTCTTTTTAGTGGTCTGAAACATTTCGAGGGAGTGTTTTTATGTTCGTAGAGTCCGCACTAAAAACAACACCTTTTATTTTTTTTATATATAGAAAAATATAACTTTAGTTGTTTTTCACCAAAAACATAGCGAGTTCTCTGACAAAAGAACTTTTAACCGACAGAAACAGCGGATTTTTGTGGAGTGGTTCATTGAGAACAAACGGCATTTCTAGCATAGGTTTTATAAATACAAAAGCGTATTTGTAATTTTGGGGAATATTTTGCAGAGCAATAAAAACATTTCAAAATCCGTTTCTGTCATTAACGTACAAATATAAACAGCAACCGATGTTTACTTACAATATCTGTGTGTTTGTTGTTATATACAAAAATATTTGTATTTATAACACATTCATATTTTTTTATTTACCTGAGAAACATCGTCGAGATGGCAATCAACTGCGAGAACCAAATCACCCAGAAGAAGATCAAGAACATCGTCAAATTAGTTTTGACTTTCTTCAATTCACCACAAACGAAATTCGTTACGATTTTCAGCAACATTATGATTTTTGAATTATTTGATTGCTAATTTGCACAGATACTAGGTAAATAAAGCAAGTACAGATATACGCACACTGGTTTAAACTTAATAGTAACCGGGTAGTAGTGAAAAAAATATATTTCTGAGTGTGTTAAATAAATAAAGAATTTTTTTTTGGAGGCGTCTATTATTTTTTGTATATATTATTTAGTAAAAAAAAACATAATCACTCAACAACAACAACACTTAATTTAACGCAATTCGTGTTACGGTGCGTATGTGAATTGTCAATGTCATTACTAATGAGTAGCTTATCGACTACTTTAATGATGCATAAAAACAAATATATAAGAAGCAATAATATGCACCCACTATTTGGCAAACAAATCAAATTAACAATTCCTATTAGCAAATACGAATTCTACACCGCCTCGTACAACCGTTAGATTTCACATGAGAAAACTGTAGAAACTAGTCAAGTTGCTATCAGCAATGAATACACATTCAAGTATTATTTAATAAGCAATAAAACAATCAGTCTTCGAAACCATTGCGCCAAAATAAAATAATAATAATCACAGTCAATATGTACAACTGATTATCGTTGTGGACGTTGCGAGCAGTAGTTTTGAAACACGTCAGCGTAACTCTTTAAATGCCAACCTACTGAGTAGATAAGAATTGAGTTAACGAAATTTCGAGTACAAAATTCTTTTCAGTCCACGCTACAAATAATACATATATTATGAATGAACAAATACATTTACATTACACCTATTGGTGCATTGAGGAGTCAAAACAATGATAAAATACACTAGCAACAACTGTTGTTGGTGCAAGATAACAACTTGCGACGCCAAATTGCGGCAGTACATTACCAAGAGACAATGCCAAAAGATATTGAGTAATTTACATGCGAGCACTTGTACAAGTGTTTACATATGTAAATGCCAATATACCGATGCGCATATAGGTGCATATGTTATTGGCAATACAGAATGGAAGAAGCATGCAAATTTAAAGTGAATTTTTAATTAAATTTAAAAGCGGAACGTATTTATAATATACATGTATAAATTATCAGGTGTTACGAATGGAAAACAAGTACTAAAATAGTGAATGCATTTAATTTTATTTCCAAATAAGTATTCGAACGCAAACGGAAACTGTTTAAAAACGTAGATACCTGCTACATTCGTCTTAGCTCGATGGTTTATCGAATTGCCGAGCTCAAGCAGATATTATTCGATAAATGACAGGTGGAACAAGTTCTAAGCCGCTTCCTTATAGACCGAGATATTAAACGACAAAGCAGATGGGGTGGTAGACACGCCTTAATAGTAGAAGAGATGTCATCTGGTTCGACTGCTTTTATGCTAGGATGAAAGACAATATCGCACAACCTTTAGCTCAGATTGGATATTGGTAGGCAGTGCGATGACCATAATGAAAATTTAAAATATCAAAAATCGAATGCTGCTTGTTCACATTTCCAAGGGTTAGATGTTTAAAAATATCTCCCCAAAAGTATTTTTTAAAATTCAAATTATTTTGAAAGTTGTCTATAACTTAGTGTCGTGGCAACTAGACGACGAAACTTTAAACGCGTTTTTATCGTAAGTGTAACACTTTTTCCGATGCGATCGTTACGATATCTCAAGCTCGATTCCTCGAAAGTCGATTTACTTGAAATTAGTTATAAATAGACCATAAGTATAGAAATTGTGACGATGCGGACGTGGCTTTTCGCGCTCTCTATTTCAAGGACGCATAACTTTAAGAAGTATGAATAAGCAAATGGATCATATCAATAGCGTTTTTTATGAAAAGCTCGAATTTCGGGCCTTTAGACTAGAATACCTTAACTTAAAAAATATTTCTTTTACAGAGCGACAGATGTGGTTATAACCGTACTGTCCACCTTGTATGCACTGTAAATATAGTTATTAAAAATTATGGTGGGCTTGTTGTAGTAGTTAAGGGTTACCTACTACATAACATGTCTGCTCAATCTCTGTACCGTTCGAAGCCGGCCCAAATCTTATAAGTCTAATGGTTTGTCGAGTAAAATCAAGGCACATACCATAAGCATCCAAGTAAAAATATATAAAAATTTTCAAAGGAATTCAGTACACATTAATTATTGATCTTGCTTCGACTATGAATTTATAGTTGGTTAGCTTTTCAGAAAAAAACGTCATTAAGTCATACAATTTTATTCAAAAGAATTTAACAGGTAATAAATAGCCGTTTTTTGTCAGAAAAATTTTATGGCACGTAGGGACATAGCAACTTATTGTTGCAAGATTTTACATGGAAGTCATTATTTAAATTACTTATAAATATGATTTTTTATTAATATTTAAAAATAAATATATAGCAAGAATTGTGTGTGGAAATTATGGAAGGAGATAGTGAGTGGTCAAGACCATAAGATTATCGTATCTTAATAAGAATAATATCTATGTCTGTTCTTCCATGATAAAAAGTGGTTAATAATATCGAATAAAATCCAAAATATGTTTTGTATTCTCAGTTTGATAAAAAAAATGATTTTATTTTGTTTACATTTTTGGTTTCTCTCCCGAAAAAAAACACCCATTACATACTGTGTAACTTGAGAATAGAACCATGTAAAGCAGACTGTCTAACTTATATGGTGAATCTCATGGTGAGCATTTTTCACCTGCTTTATAAGGTAAAACTTGCTTCCAATAACTATGATCTGTTGTTTCGAACGCTGCAAGCTTAATATGGAGTTATGTGAGGTTAGAATGCGTAATGCGGGTGATAAACAATATGCATATGTATTTGAAATATATATTAAAGCTTATAGTTGAAAGCTCCATAAAGAACTATGTAAGGTTAGACTTCATAATGAGGGTCTTTAAAGCTTAATTTATTTCAATACAAAATTACAAACAAAAAAATTTGCATTCACCATGTGATTGTAAATCTATTTACACTCATTACACCCACTATAAATTAGTTTAAAATAGTTCTAGGTTCTTTAAAATTATACACCTATGCATTTGCAAGTACTGCGCATATGAAGCGTGACATTATTTCCAACTATTTGTAACATTTTTGTGAAATTTTCACATTCGCACGTCAAAAGCGCATTGTGTATGCTGGCATGTGAAACAGTTTTGACACACATTTTCGACTGCCCACACAAACATCACAACTGTGTTGACATATAATTACATATTTTTCAGACATTTCCCCACACAATGCCAACATTTACGCATTTCGCGCATTTTCACCCATAAAAAAAGCGGCGAGAGAGATGCATAAAATAGAAAACAAAAATTCAAAGTATTGTAGAATGCAACATTGGAACATTGGTCACAAAGTCATTAAATGTGTCCAAGCGAAATTGTGTGTTTTGTTAAATTTTCTTAGAAGCGTTGTTGTGCATAAAATGCGTAAATTATTCGTTATTGTTTGCACGTTGCATTTGACAATGAAATTTCGTCAGAAAATTTCTTTGTAATTTCGCAATTTGTTTACTGCTATTTTTTGCTTTACTTTTTGTTCCGACTTACAACTGATTGCTTGCTTGTGTTTCAATGACAAATATGTAAATCTACAAGTTGTTGTTTTATTCACCAACGTACACCAAACCACACCACAGCATCACCTGCAGTGTATTAAGGAATTACATACAGACACCTTAGCTTAAGCTGCACTTTTTATAGTCACACTTCGCACAGTTTGCCAGTTTGTTAGTTTCGCATTTTGCAATTTGGCATTTCTTCGCAGCTTACAATTTGCATTCGCGCATAAAACACTGCTGGTGAATGCTGTGTGCCTAAGTAGCTTTAACGCGAAAGCATTTAATTTGTATGTAGATAAAGAGCCAAGATAAAGCGTCGCTTTTTTTCCAAACACGCACGGTTAATTGCCTTCACCGTCGCGACTTGCGTCACCTCACCTGAAACGGCTAAGCGCCAATTAAGCGCAGCGGTTGTCATTTGCATTTAGTGTTACAATTTTTAATAGCTTTTGCCGCAGCTACATACATACGTACATATGTCAATGCAAGCTTGCAATCTTTATGAGTTGTCACATTTTTTGCGAAAATCATTATAAATGCATGAATAGAAAAAAGTTGCTGACAAAGTTATTTAAATATGAATTGTTGATATTCGGAAACGTGCAGTATAACGTTATTATTACTTTTGCTCATATTTTTTTAACTGAGTTAATTAAGAATGCTATTTTCTTTATAAATTGTGGATTGAGTTCGCTGAAACCAAAAGCTGTAACATTTTTATTGCTTTTAGAATTAGAAGATGGCTCACAGATCACAAACTCACGTACCGTAAGGCAAACTTATAGAGTACTTAATAAACATTAGCGATTTGGAGTCCAAAGAATTCTGAAGAGACTCTCTAGGCTCCCTCGCACACCGAAAACTCTATTAGTGAATTCTGTAGAATCGTTTGTCTCTATGGCAAAAAACTGGCACAATCGATATTCACAAACTTTTCTTGAGGTGAATTTTAAGCCAGAAAAATTAATCGTCACATACAGGAACATGTAGTAACTACTTGATGTCAGGTCTGGACTATAAGGTGGATGCATAAGAGCCTCTCCACTAAGCTTCCGCAGTTTCTGGCTAGTAACTATCGATTTGCGTGGCCTGGCATTGTCCTGGTGGAACACAATTCCTCTCCTATTGGTTAAAGTTATCTCCTATTGGTTAAAGTTAAAGTACAGGTCCGAATTAAGAGTTTGACCGTAGAGTAGCAGATCATACATAGTAGATGAAATTCCACTAAACACATAACAATACTTCGCTGACCATCAAGCGATTCGCAGTTAGAAATTCGGTCCATGAGGTTTTCGACAATTGGCCTTCCAGAGCGTGGTGCATCTTTGACATCAAAATTACCGGGACGGAGTCGAAGAAACCAAAATTGTGCGTGATTGGCTATAACTGTAGCCAGATAATAAACACTGTTTACACTTAAGGGCTGCTTTTTCTGCTTTATCGAAGAAAATCTGTAGAATATGACGTATTTTTTTTGGCTGGTGTCCATCTTTGACGCGTG